TTCAGATGTAGCCCATGGCAGGTCAATATCCAAGTGGGTTCCCTAGTAAAGGGCATAGGAACTGTCTCTGACATGAACTTAGTGGCTGGTTCTTTGGGCTCCCCTGCCAAAGGAGGGGCAACCTTGCTAGGCCACAGAGGAGGACATTGCAGCCCAGTCCTAAAGAGTCCTGATAAGCTAGGTTCAGATGGAAGGGGTGGAGGACCTCCACTATCAGTGGACTTAGAGAGGGGCAGCGAGGAGATGAGGGAGGGAGGAAGTGAGGGAGGAGGCTACAGTTGGGATACAAAGTAAAAAAAAAAACTGTACTTAATCCAAAAACAACCAGCCAGAATGGTAAGACAAAAGAAAAAAACAGCACCCCCAAAACCACACCAAACCAAATTAAACTAAACCAAACCAAAAAAACCCAACCAATCAAACAAAATACAAATCTGATGAGGATGTGAAGGAAGATGAAATTTTAGGCTCTTAGGTGGGAATGTAAACTGGTCCATCCACTATGGAAATTATATGGAGATTCCTCAGTAATACAAAAATACAATTTCTATACGATTCATTCATACTAATCTTGAGGTTATAACTAAAAGATTCTGTCAGCCTCTCATGCATCCTGGCATATCTGTGCTTATTGCTGCACTATTTATAATAGCCAAGATATGGAACCAGCTTCAATGTCCATCAACAGCTCGGTGAATTAAAGTGATACATATAAACAGTAAAATTTTATGTAGCGCTAAGGAAAAATGAATGGAACTGAAATTCATTATGTTAGGTGAAATAAATCAGACTTAGAAAAAAATATTTTGTGGTTTTGGATATGCCAAATGCAGATTTGTGTGTGTGTGTGTGTGTGTGTGTGTGTGTGTGTGTGTGTGTGTGTGTTTTATGACGTGGAACTGTGTAAGCAAAAAGGGTACCATGAGAAAGAAAAAAGAGGCTTAAAGAGAGAGGGAGGTGTGGAGCAAGGAGGAGTAATGGAATGTATGTCATGAAAGCAGAATGAAGTGTTTGAGAGGGAGGAAGGTAGCCATCAGGAAGGGAAGAGGGTTAGATGGGAAGTCGGCGTTATGTATATGGGATGTGAAGGGCACTATTGGTGTGCTGACACATGTGGGTGAAAAATCACATTGAATCCTATTTCTTTGTATGCTAACCAAATTTAAAAAGATACCAAGGGAGGAAAACACTCATACACAAAAAGGGCTTTAGAAATGAAAAACAAATGGGAAGAATTAATAATGATTCTCCAGTCATCCCTTTCTGCACACAGAAGCTCTCATTTACTAGGCATCTTAGCGCAGGAAGTACTTGCACCATTCAGATTCTTTTCCAATAGTGGATAAAAATATAACAAGACTGGAATTTTAAAAGCGAATCAATGTGTATTTTTATAAATGCAATTGTTGGCATACAGACATAAAGACATTTCTTAAGGATAGTTTACATGAATCAAATTTTCTACACAAGAAGCAACATTTTGGGTGAATTTTTTTCCCCAAAAGCTAATTTTTAAGCTTTGTAGAGTAGGTGCCAAGTGGTATTTTAAAAACACACATTTAAAAAAAGAACGTGCATCTTTGCTTGGAATACAGATGGAGCCTTTGTCAATTGAAGGCATTTTGCCTAAGGACACAGAGAAAATCACTTCTTCATAAACATACAAACTCCACTTTGCTGCTTCTGTTCCTCTTAATTTCTAGAAGATGAGGAGAAACAAAATAAGGGGCTCAAAATTGCAATGATTTAGCAATTTCACCGCTCTGATTTTGTATCAATCATTCTATAAAATTTATCACACCTTCAGATTAACATTATAACTTTTCTGTGAAGGAATGTGATAAATTCTGAAGAGTTTTTTTTCCTTTTTCCTCTTTTTTATTATTATTATTAATTACACTTTATTCATTTTGTATCCCCCCATAAGCCCCTCCCTCCTCCCCTCCGGATCCCACCCTACCTCCCCTTTCTGCATGCATGGTCCTCCCCTCGTCCACTGATAGGGGAGGTCCCCTCTCCTTCCTTCTGATCTTAGTCTATCAGTTCTCATCAAAAGTGGCTGCATTGTCATCTTCTGTGGCCTGGTAAGGCTGCTCCCCCCTCAGGGGGAGGTGATCAACGAGCAGGCCAATCAGATTATGTCAGAGGCAGTCCCTCTTCCCATCACTATGTAAGCCACTTGGACACTAAACTGCCATGGGCAAGTTTTTATTTTTTTGTGTGTGTACAGAAAGTGATATTGTATTCTACATCAAACTCTAATCCACATCTCTTCATTGTGGCCTCCTAAATCATATAATATATTAGCAATGGGCAGTGCAGCATAACAATCAGCCATTCGCTGTGTTGTGTTAACACACAGCATTTGAAGTGAAAAGCGACATCTGGAGACATAGACAGCAGTTAAGACAATTTTTTGCTCTTAAAGAATCTCAGTTCTTGGCACCCACATGGTGGTTCATAACCATCTGTAACTCCAGTTCCAGGAGACCTGAGAATCTGGTCCTCTCTGTTCTTTTTGAACCCTGAATAACTGTGGTGCAATAAACATATGCAGGCAAATATCCAAACATACAATAAAAATAGATAAATCCTTGAAAACAAAGAAATGGAAAAATAGAAAAATGAAAACAATTTGCCTGAATAGTAAATATCAGAGCTAAAATTCGAGTATGCCTTGTGGCTTTAAACTCCTTACCACCTACGAATATTCTTAAAACAAAACAAAACAAAACTAACTAACCAAGCAAACAAATAAAAACCATGAAACCTTTAATGGGGGATCATGGAAATTCTTGTTTCTTGACAAGGAAATGTGTCTATTACATATTGTGATGTGTAAAACTCAAGCTGCAATACGTTCTTTGTTTTTTATTTTATTTTTTACATTTACCCATAAGTGAGTGTGCATATGTGTGTGCAAAAGTATGCCACACTTGTAGAGATCAGAGAACAACTGATGCTAGTTGATTTTTTTCTTTCTACCATGTGTGAGTCAACTTAGGTCATTGGACTTGATAGCAAGAACTCTTATCTGATAGACAATCTTACCACACCAGCAGCCCATTCGTGAGAGAATGTATACAATTGTATACAAGCAAAAATGATGGAAAGAATAAATCCCTAATGGCTTTTCAGCCTTTGGGCTAAAATCAGGTGTGGAATCGCCTGCAGATATTAACGGCAGGAAAGGATATCTCTGGTTACATGGCTATAGGGCAGCCATTGAATCAGTGCTATATTCATATCCTCCACCCAAAAGCCCATTCTCCATCTCATCACTGGGATACACAATACTTGTCTTTACATGTCCCCATGAAAGTCACTTTTTAATGGAAAATTTCTCTCATTCCCCAAAAAATATACTGTTTTCTACTTGTACAGGACCCTGTAACCTCCTCTGTAATACTTACTTCAGTTATAACTATCTGCCTTTTTTTATTAATTTTTATTTTTTATATTAGTCACAAGTTATTTACTTTGTATCCCAGTCATAGCCCCTTCCTCCCAATCCCACCCTCCTTCCCTTATCTCCTCCCTGCCCCTTTCCAAGTCCACTGAGAGGGGAGGTCCTCCTTCCCTTCCATATGACCCTAGCTTATCAGGTATTTTCAGGACTGGCTGCATTGTCCTCCTCTGTACCCTAGCAAAGCTGTTTCGCCCTTGGTGGGGTGTGGGGGGGGGAGATAATGGAGCCACTCATTGAGTTCATAACTACCTGCCTTTTTAATGACTGTTTCTTTCAATAAATTCTAAGCACCTAATATAGTTATAGGTGCTCGTGGATTCTCTTATTCTGCTTTGAATAAGTAATTGTGGATATTTCCTTCCACAGTGGTGCTTTTCTTGTCAATAATTTTTGCCTTTTTTTTTAAAATCAGCACTAATGTTGGGCTCACGTTTGGAGGAAGGAGTGATATGGTTATATCATTTCATTAGATTTAGAATTATTTCTTAAAAGTAACTCTGTCTTCTGTATTTCTGCCATCTTCTCCTCCAACCCTTGATCATTTTATCTGCCTACCAAGTTCCTGCCAATTTATGATTAAAAACTTAAGACACAACTTGCTAACTTGTGTCTTGTCCCATGGTTCTCTGTCTGGTTTTCCTCATGGACACAGTGAGATAGAAAATAACATTGCAAACTATGTCTTCATCATTCTTAGGCCTCTTTAATCAGTACTACAAATACACACAGTTGTGCCATGTGGCAACTGGCACAACATGGTGAATTACACATATCGCAGTGGTCCTGATGACGGCATTGCCTAGTGGCTCCAGACATGTATTAGGAAGTTTTTATCGCTATGTCAGTCAGTTTTTGTTGTTTCAGCATACATGGAAAAAAAAAAAAACTTTAAGGTTAATTCTGCAGTTGTCTCACTGTTGCTGTGGACCTGAGGTGAGGCTGAACTCTTAGTGAGAAGTGTGTTGTGGAGTGTCGTAGCTCAACTTATAGAGACAAGGAATCAGAAGAGAAGCTTGGGGAGTCTGGAGAGAAGATACGCAAGATACACCTTCTTTTTTTTTTCTTCTTCTTCTTTCTAATTGATTTTAGGTTAGCATACAAAATAATGGGTTTTATCATGATAAAAAGCATGATAAGCCTTTTAAAGGAACACTCTTAGCCACTTCCTTTCTATGACTATGTCCTACCTCCTAATAACCCATGAGTTTATTAATGGATTAAACTATTGGTAACTTCTCACTATCATGAACCAATAGTCAATAGTGCAACCAGCTGGGGAAGGTTAGTACTTCCTATCCAACTCATAACATGAGCTAGTTTAACTAATTAAAATACACTATATATAAGCAGTTTGCCGAATAGAGAAACCACCAAAGCATATCTCAGAATACATCTCCATTGTTAAGCTACTTACTGTAAGTATTTGAATTGGGCTGTAATTTCAAATAATATTTAATAAATTGCCATGCTGAATTTACTATTTTGCTGCACCAAAAATCCAATTACCTATTTAAGTAGACTCCAAAATTCATTTTTTTTGACACATTCTACATTTTATTATGAGACAAACTCCATCCCCAGTTTAGACAAAACCAAAATTCCATCTGGTAGGATTGACTGATAATCACAGGACCCAGTTGATGATGATCGTAACTCTGTATAAACCTTTAGTCTTGCCATTGTGCGAATCCTTACAGACCCAGCTTTGTTCTCCTCCAGTGTCTTCTCTTGGAGTTGTACCTGATTTTGTTACCAGTTTTCATCCGAATCCATTGAGGAATAGGACGATTCTGCTTTTGTTTCTTGGCCAGGAATCGCTTGATTCGGAAAGTCTTGTGAGAAGACATGACAAGAAGCCCAGTTAGGCGTAAAGCTCACGATGGAGGAGGAAAGGCGAAGAGCCCAAAATTCATTTTGAAAATGATTTTTATTTGACAAGTTTATAAATGTCTATAAATTATTTTGATACTTTTCATCCAGCCTCCTTCTCCCCTCTTTCCCTCTGCTACATCTTCTGGAGTCCTTCCTCTCAACATCCTTCCCTCTTTAGACTCCAAGATTCTTGATAATATTTTCAAAATATTTAAGACCTTTTTATTCAAACTGTTACACTGTTTAGATTGAGGCTACAGGATTTCAGAATAGCTATTTTGAAAAACTAATTTTGAGTATATGCTTATGGATGCTATGATTTCTTTTTAGCAGAGACATAGTAAAAACAATGTTAAATTGAAAAAAAATAGACAATGGGACTTTACTGACCCCCTTCTCCTTGAACAATGAAAGTGTCCAAACTCTAAGCTGCTCCATGTGGTAGCAAACTAATCCAATGGGGTTACACTGCATCAGGAATTCCCTGATGCCATTGGGAAACTGCGTTGTTAATTTTGTCACATGTGGCTAGTACCTTTTGTATTTCACAGCACAAATATGTATATGCTCAAAGCGGTGGAAAGTAGAATGTATAAAAGAAGAGTCCAAAGGCTGGAGAGATGGCTCATGAATTGCTCTTGCAGAAGACCCTGAACTTATGCTGATTGACTCATGGGTTCCTGTGCCTCCTTTAACAGGGGGATATGAGAGTTCTGGCCTCTGTGATCACCTGAACTTACATGCACACACTCAGACATAGACTCACATACACATAAGTAAAAACAAAGTAAGTGTAAAAGAAAAAGAAGAGTAAGAAAATGACTTGATTTTGGTTCTCTTTCTTCTCATTTAGGCGACAGAACTATTCAAAGGCAGACACTGTTTCTAACATGATATCCTAACTATATGGGACATTTCACATCCTAGAAGCCTCATCTACAATACTGAATGACAGACTTCCACAAAAACAATTCATTAAGCATGTTTAAACAGATATGTCAGGTTCCTTCTCTCTCCCAAGATGCAGGGATATTTAAAGGGCTCTGAATCATACAAATAATATGAGAATGTATCATAGCTGAGTGTTTGTGGAAATAATGCATATCCATCTAACTCATCACCTGTTAAATCACAGCTTTGTTTAATTTTCAAGAATGAAGTGATTCATAGTCATTTCACTCATGGAAGCTGATGCCAGTTCATTTCTTGGAGTTTAATCACGAGCTTCTAGAATTGAGATGCAAATATTTTATGCAGAAAATTTCCATTTTGGTTCTCTGTTGAAAGGTATCAGTAACTTTGTATTTGGACTAATAAATCAATTCCTGGAGGAATATTTATTGATACTGATTTTAGATTCACTACAATTTTGATATGAAGAAATGGTGAGATCATGTTCAAAGACGTTAGCATTGGCAGTATCCCTTTACCTGCTGGGGACCTTACTCTACCTTTTCTGTCCTAGCATAAATATGCCCCTGTGGAGGGCATTTTTTTTTATTAATTACACTTTATTCATTTTGTATCCCCCCATAAGCCCCTCCCTCCCCCCTCCAGGTCCCACCCTCTCCCCCCTTTCTGCATGCATGCCCCTCCCCAAGTCCACTGATAGGGGAGGTCCTCCTCTCCTTCTTTCTGATCTTAGTCTATCAGTTCTCATCAGAAGTGGCTGCATTGTCAGGGTTCTAGGTTATCTCCATGGATAGTCCTTGGTTGGAGTATGAGTCTCTGGGAAGTTCCCTGTGTTCAAATTTTCTTGTTCTGTTGCTCTCCTTGTGGAGTTCCCATCCTCTACAGCTCTTGCTATTTCCCACTTCTTACATAAAATTCCATTCACTCATACAACATAGAATAAACCCACTAAAATCTGTACATCTAAACAAACCAAGCAAAAGAGAGGACCCTAACTAAAAATGCTCAATCCCCATCCTGAAAGGCAAAGAGGATGAACATCAGAAGAAAAAGAAAACAGGAAACAACCTGGGAACCTGCCACAGAGGACCTCTGAAAGCCTCTGCATGTTTACAAGGTAGGGGTTAGCTAAGGAGTTGGAAGCAGCTCTCTTTAAAAGCCTGTATTCCATCATGTCCATGCTAAGCTGTGGTCACTCAAGGCCAGTACTCAGCCCCCATTCAAAGCTACCCATATTCAAGAAAGCCAAATTTATAAACTACTCATAATCAAGAATAAACTGAATCTCAGTGCAAAATTCCCTTCTCTCTTACATTTAAACTTTTTTGTAGAGGTGAATTTTAGTCACAACTGATGTGAAAGGTAACCTTCAAGGCCAATGGAGAAGGAAAATAAGTAGCATAGACTCTTGACAAAGAAAAGCTTCTTGTTTGCAGCCCCCTCTAATTGTGTGTTTAGGAGCTCAAAAGCATTTTCCACTCAGGCTCTAGCCATTTTCCATGCTCCAGCTTTGGACCTTAGCACATGCTTACTATGCACAAATACCTGGCCTCGTGGTACAGGAAGATCTATTTTCAGCACCGCTTGTTTCTCTAAAGCAATTTAAAATGAATCTCTCCTTTAAATATACTCTGATCATTCACCCACTTTCTCAGGGAAGCTAAATCTATGATATTTGGTCCAACCAGAAAAGCTCACTGCATGGAGGGCTTACCCAAGTAAGGTAAGCCCTTTAGGTCTTTATAACCACCAGACCTAAAACAAGAACAGATTTAGGCTTGAGTTCTAGATAATTTCAGGGCATGGAATCACCACTCCTGCCATTGTCCTGAGAGCCATGGTGATATGGACTTTGGTACCATGGAACTGCCACATGGGGCTTATGTGGAGAGAGCCACAGAAGAGGCTGAGATGCAAGAGAAAGGATGAAATGTCAATGAGACCCATGTGTTGACAATTATAGGAACCTTAAAGAGACTTCTGTCACATCAACTGTCACCAAGAAGCAGTCGGAACGGCCATCGCACCAGCCCTACGGGACAGCCCTAAGTTAGTCAGGCGATAGTAGTACTCACAGAGGTAGACCTATATATACCCAGGGAATCCATAGACTAGGATGGACTGCAGAAAAATAAAACTCACATCAGAAAGGAGTCCTGAAAATGGTCCCAGCCCAGGCATGGTGCACAGCAAAAGTCCTCCAGAACAGAGGGCTGTCCCTCTAGAACAGAGCAAGAGTACCTCCCTTGGAGATCCTCATACTGCACTGGGGCTGTGCCTTATAGCAGGAAGAGCTCCGAAGTCTCTGCTCTGGAGATCATGGTTTCTTTTGTTTACCCTCTGCTGAAGGGCTTATAGTTTTAGAAAAACCTCTTTTCATATTTAACGATACGACCATAAAGGTTTTTTTTTTCTTTGTCTTGGTAGAATCATCATGGTTTTAATTGAAGGTATACATGATGGTTAAAGACTTTTATTTAAAAAAAAAAGTCAGGCATACAGGAAAATGCTCCCAGTAAGATAAAGAAAACAAACCTTTATATATCCATCATACAGATTCAAAAATTAACAAGAACTTGCCATCCTTTATCATTTAGTATTGTGGTTATTGAAGATGTCTTTAAATAAATGCTACACTTGGCTGTTATACGACATGTTAATGCCTAGCTTCAAAAATACCAATGTTTTGAAAATATCAATAATTGTTGTGTCATAATAATACACAAGAAAATTTAGAATATTTTCTTGACATCCTTCAATAACTAAAAAATTAAAAATTTCTCACTATTTAGGAATAGGAAATGGAAAACAAGATTAAAAATAGAATTGGTGGGAATAGAATCAAAGCATGTTATATGCATCTGTAAAAACTTCGCAACAGACTAGTTTATACAATTAGTATACGTTGATAAAAGTAATTTTATCATACTTTCTAATTTTTCTATTAATTAAAATCATTTAAATAAGTAATCAAAAAGAGCTCAAACATTATATTCTATACTACTTACATATTTAACATGTTGAAAAAAGTCAAGAAGCTTGTCCCAAATCCTAAGTTTTGATTTACTTCTTTGTAGAATCACTCATTTTGACCTTTTATTCCATTCTTTTCATAAAGTTCACGCAAAAGATTTGAGTAGTTTTTTGTACTATTTGTTTATTTGTAGTTTCTAGAAGAGACAAAAACTTTCATTCTATTTTGACTTTTCATCATGGCAATCTTTCAAAAAACTTGTTCATCATGAGGGAAACAGAATAGGTTTAATGTGGTCATACCAATGTCCAAGGTCTACTGCCTTCTTTGCAGTAAGCACATTTCATAAATGGTGCCGTGGGCTACACATAATGCTCATGATGCCATCTTCCAAACCTCTCCACAGACTTGAGGGAGAGCTTGGGGAGCACCCTGAAGAGCCTCGGTTTTCAGTAGAGAAGATGGAGATGGTAGTAACAGACGCTTCCAATGCCTTCTGTGAACATTGTATTGTATAATCCTTGTAAATAACACAAATAGGGCCTGGTATATTCAAACACTAAATGTTAACTGTGATTATGAATAAGGTTTGCAAAGTGCTTAGCATAATTTACTGGTGTAAGGCACTCATATTAACTACTGTTGATACCTTCAGTAGTTGTTTTGGCTGATTAAATAGTGTGCATATCATGAGTAGACAGTACTGAAGGACGAACACAAGTGAAGTACAGGCCTTGACGCATTGATACTAAGAAAATTCTCTGTGATAAGTTTCAGCTCAGGAATAAATTACAAGCTTCAAGGTGGGTGGGTGTCGACGTTATTTCTGCTGTGATAAAATACCTTGACCAAAATCAACTTGGGTGGGGGAGGAATATTTTAGGTCACAGTTTATTGTCCATCATAAAAGGAATTCAGGGTAGGAAGTCAAGGTGGGAGCCTAGAGACAGGAATAGTAGCAAGGCTATGAAGGAATGCTGCTTACTAGGCTATTTACCTTGGCTTGCACAATTCACTTTCTTTTTTATTTAATTAATTAAATTTACAACTTGGTCATAGAACCCTCTCTCTTCTCCTTCCAGATCCACCCTTCCTCTTACACTCCCTCTTCTCTATTCCTAAGAATAGGGGAGCCCC